AAAGTCAAACGAACACAAAACTTTGATTAAAAAAATAATTTTTTAAGAAAAAATTAGTTTTTTTTGTACTTTTTAGCAATGGAAGCAAATTTTATAACCAATTGTGGAAAAAATTATCATTTTAATGGACAATTTTTATGTAAAATAAAGCCAAACGAACACAAAATTTTAAAATTTTTCAGGTGGAAAATTATATCAATCAAACACACTTAATTACCAATTCCCCGCAAAACAATTTCTAGACAATTACTTTCTCTGGAATACATTTTCTTTCCACTCATTTTTCACCATTGCAATCAAACGGACCCTAAGTGATTTGTTCTACCAAATCTGCACCTCTCTTTCACATAGGTCTTTTACGTCTCAAGTTTTAACTTGACTGTCATAGGACAAAGTACACAAGTAAGAGCAGGTAAGGATCCCACAATAATTTATCATTTACTCTGCAACATAATGCTATCAGACTAATCAAGCGAACGATAAAGCTTAAGCACACTAAAAACATCAGTACACATTTGCAAGTCAAAAATATACCACCTTAATCACTTTTAAGAAACTAATCTTGAGGTCTATACGTTGCCAATCAGATCCAAAAAAAATGAAAAATGAAAAATGAATGACAGAACCTGATAGATAAAGATCATATGTAAAGGCAAACCTGGATTCAACCGCAAAATACTACTCTGAGAGGGTATTAAAGAAGTGAGGAATGTGGTTTTGGTCCATGCCAGTATAACCACCGTTGCACAAACAAAACTGATGAGGATGATAGAGACCTGTGTAACCTTCAGACCAGAGAAGGCTCCCTTCATCCTTGATACCCCAAGTTCCACTGACTCAAAATCATTTAAATGTCATACTCGTGGCATTTCCATCAGATCAGCATTCTAAACCATCATACAAGAAAGAAGCAGGTCAAACATACAGAACATAACACAACAGTAATCACCATTTTCAATTTAAAAGTTCAGTAACCAAGGAGAAACATACAAAAGATCAAAATTACATACAAGTTCAGAAATATAAGCACATATTTAGATATTCTAGGTGAAACAAATTTACAGCAGGTTAAACAAATTTTAATAGGTATAACATTATTTTTTGAAAGTAATCAAAATCAAGTCTTCGATGTGGATGATAGAAGAGATAAAAATAATATTATTACTATTCTAAAACTTACGACCAAAGAAAAAGAATACCAATTGAGATGGGAAACTCTGTCTTTCTTTAGGCTCAATTCTTTTTACTCAATGTTTTAACTAAACGAAATATTACTTCATTACTTAAACCTAACTTCTCGTCCCACTTGCACAAAAATTTCATGTTTGTTATACACAACACAAGAAAATATTCCTCCACCATACCATGTACTCCTACTCTATTGAACTTGATATCCACGTAGTTCATACAAAAAGGTCAAATTCAAAACAACAAACAGATCGCATTTCCCGAATAGATGGCATTGGCAGCTCTCATCACATTTTAATGGAATGACAATAAATAAACAGATCATTACAAATTTTCACACAGAAAGTGTGAAATTATTCAGAATGTAAGAAGAAGCAAATGGATCGAATCGTGAAGAACTGAATACAAGACAAAAATTAAAAGTTAGTATGAAAGCTATAAAAGCTAGAATCGTCAATTGTATGTAATTATCAATGAAAACTAAAATTAAATCGATCGAAAAGAAAAAGAATTTACCATATTCACTCACAATGACACAAATCACAACTGAATCGTAGAGTATCGGAAGCAAACAACGTCACATAAAATTTATACCTTTTACAAAAAGTTCTCAATTTTGAAACCTCCAAAATGCCTGGATCTCCAACAAAGTACTGCAAATTTAAATTATTATTCTCATCCTCCTCCTCCTCCTCCTTCCTTTGCTTCGTATTATACAGTAATTGCTAATAATTACAAAGCAAGGAATAAGTTAAACAGATAGATGAAAAAAATGTAGTCTGATGCCACAGCGGCTTGTGGCGGTACAGCTGAGGTGGAGATCGTGGCGGAGAAAGTGATAGGAGTCGACTAATTAATCATATTATTTTGACGGAAAAGTATTTAAAGTATTATTCAAATTAGCCCCTGTTGGGTTGGATCGAGTTTAAATTTTCATTCGCATTTTTCAGCTCATTTTAAATCACACATTATTCAATAAAATAAATTTATTGAATAATTTATTTTTTAAAAGGAAAAAGAAAAAAAAAAGAATTTTTAATAATTTATTTGAAATCCGTTTGTACTTCTTTTAAAAAAATTGAGAGTATGATTGCAATTAATTAATTCGTTTTGTGCTATTTAAATAGATTCGTTATTTTACAACTTTTTATTGAGAATTGGATGAAATGTGTATTTTACACAATAAGATGTATAATTAAGAGTGAAAATATCAGAAAATGAAAGGTATTGACGTTTTTAACAATAATAGTAAAAGACATGGATGCTATTATCTAAATAATTTATTAATTTATCAATAAACGAATATTTATTAATTTATAGATTATTTTATATCTTTATAATTTATATTATACTTTACCTTAATATATGTAAGAAATTTTTAAAAAATTCTATTAATGTGGTAAATTTCAAAATTTAATCTGTAAACACACAAAAGGTATGCACATACATACATTAAAGAAGATATATTAATGTACATGTATTAGTTTCAAAAAGAGGCGAATTGAAAAAAAATGTTGTCAAATTAAAAAAATTTTAACTTGTATTAATACGATTTTTTTAATGAATTTAAGCCGTAATTATTTTATACATTTGTTGAACATTAAATGATCTAAAAAACCTTATTATCTTATGTATTTAACGAGGTTATTAATTGGGAAAAAATCCTACATATAAATACTATTAAAAAATAAGGAGGGTTAATTTTAATTTCACAAATCAAGTGATATTGAAGATTTATTAAATTAATTAATATATGATTAATATGAAAATCGTTTATGTTTAAAATTATTTCCATTATAATCACTCCCACTCATTCTCTCCTCTCAATCACCATCACCATCGCATATTTTTTCTCACTACAACATACATAATACACCTTCTTCAATATTTACAAATGAAATTCTCTTTCTCAATAACTACAGATGAAAACTCTCTCTTTATCGTTTCTCTGTTTGCATATTCTCTCTCTATAATTATTCAATTTTTTAATAGATTATTGGTATGGCCATCGGTGTCATCAGTGATTATTGGAAGAAGTGGAGGTGGTGGTGAAGTGCAAGTGGTAGTGATGTTGGCACATTGGAAGAGGTGGTTGGAGTTTTTTGTTTAGATCGGATTGCTACTTTAGGTTGTGGCGGTGATGGATTGTAGTGCTAATTTGTGGTATGTGATGATTTATTTGTGGTGACCATATGTGACCAAATCTATGTTAAATTGTGATTGATTGTGACCAAATTAACAGTAACTTCGTCATGTACCGACAATCACAACGAAGTTAAACTTGCTCACAATCACCACGCATTACTCAAAATGTTGCTACCACCTCACCACCATCACCACAAATCAACTCCAATGCACTATCACCGCCACAGAGATCTGTTTCCTAAATACAGTTGCCACCTTATCAACACCACCGTACAAGTCAAGTCAAACGCTTCAACATCACCTATAATGCGCCGTTATCACCAACTCACCGCCACTTTTTCATAAGGGATCTCTATATGATTGTTTTCGTTTTGTGGTTGTACATATAAAGGGAGGGAATTTGTGTTTATAGAGTGAAGGTTTATAAATGGAGAGAGTGTGTGTGTTGTGTTACAAAATATCTTTAAAATTGGGAGCGAGATTGTGTTAGGTTGGACTAGGCGTGGTGGGACGGGGATAGGAAAGCAAATAATGCAACGATGAAGATATTATCTTATAATTATATATATTATTGAATATGATTTGTGAAAACATGATTTGTGAAAGTATTTTATAACGTCGTTAGTTGTGAAATGTGATTGTATAGTCTTGTAGTTGTGTATTTTTACTTTATTAGTTTAGTACACTGATCCAAGTTGAAACTAAAGAATTTTATTACTTAAGCGAGATTATTAATTTATCAAACATTCATTTATAAAGGTTTTACTGTACATATTTTACGAGATTCATAACTTTTCAACAATATATCTCTATCAGCTTTTATCAAAATTTAATAATTTAATCAACACTAAACATGGGTTTAGTTTGTTCATGTTGGAGTGGTAGATTGACTTACTAATGGTTGATGAAATGACGTTAATTTGGAATTAAAATGCAATATTTTTTCTTGGCCCTCATTATTTCTCATTAAATTATAAATTATTTTTTTCTTTTCTTATCGACCACATATTCTTTAAAAAAATAATATTACACATAAATTAAAAAACTTTTCATTCTTTTTTACACTACACATTCTCCAAAAAATTAATATTCATCTCATTATAATATAAAATAATGCGGGGCCAAACAGGCGCTCAGTGACCAACTTGAAATTTCTTATATGGCCAATTATTTTTATTTTTACCTCGTGACGTGGCATTGCATTAACAATCATGCTACATGCACATTTTATTTTGAGTAATGTTATTCATCCTCAGTGGGGATGAAAACACAGTTTATGTATTTTTAAATGATATGTTAAATGAAATGTGAAATTAAATGACGCTACGTAGACTGTGTTTTCATCCCCATTGGGGATGAATAGCATTCCTCTTTTATTTTACATCATTTTTTACATTGTATCAAGTGTTTGCACATGATTAGATAATTTTTTAAAAATTGCACAACTCATCCTCTAAATATTCATTTGATAGCAAATTGATACTCGACTTATTATTCTAATAGCACTAGTTGCGAAGTTAAATTATGAGCTTGTTTGGGAGCGTTTTTAAACCAAAAAAATGGCTTTTGAATCGTTAGAAGGAAATAAGACAGTCATTGTTGACTTTTGGTCTCACAGGTGGGACCCACCAGTTGAAAAAAAAAGGTCATTTTTAGCTTAAAAGCTGCTGAAAATTTATACTAGACAAGTCCTAAATTTTTTAGTAGATTTCGATAAAAAAATGATGAAATATATGGTTGAAAAATTTACGAATCCATGAAACATGTGATTAAAATATATTGTTGACTTTGACTTGAAATTTTTATCAACTTTTAATGTACACCAAACATTGGTCACAATGTATTGGACCTTGAAGTTTCCTATAGGAGTGGAGGGGTTGGAAGGAACACTATGGAAGTGGGGGCGACAAGTATAGAGATTTTGATGTGGCAAAATACGTGTCCAAAAAAAAACCAAAAACGAGCTGAATAATCTTCCCAAGGTAATTAACATTACACCATCAATCACCATATATTTTCATCTCCTAAATTATCCTTAATGAATATTTTGATTATAGCTCATGCTTTGTTTTGTTTGGTCATTAGTGCCTTGGTTGTTTATTCGTGTTAACATGTAATGGACATCAAACATCATGTCAAAATAGACATTATCTTCACTAGCAGAGGGATCAATGGTGTAACATTAATTAATTTTAGTGACTAAAATGAGTTAGAAAAATACTTCAAAAATAATTTGAATTTGACATAAACTTCAGTAATCATTTGTGAAATTAAGCATTTACCACCCTTCTTCACCTCCCATACTATCTTGGACCAAAAGCTTCGTGGTTTCTCCTCAGTTTAAACCCCCAATCTGTACCATTTGCTTCTCACACTTCAAAATCACAAATAAGTTTAACCACCAAAAACTACACACACACAAAATCCTATTATCGAAACTGAACCGGATCTGAAATATGAGTCGGGGAAGCGGAGGCGGCTACGATCGTCACATAACGATCTTCTCTCCCGAAGGTCGTCTCTTTCAAGTGGGTAAGCGTTTTTGGTTACGCAATTTCCCTCCAATTTCTAGCCCACATCTTTTGATTCAGCTTTATTTTAATTTTGTTTTACGCAATAATTTGGTGGGGTTTTAGTTTTATGTTTAATTAAAATTTGCAGAGTACGCTTTCAAGGCCGTTAAGGCTGCCGGAATCACCTCCATTGGTGTGCGCGGAAAGGACTCCGTTTGTGTTGTTACTCAGAAGAAAGTCCCGGTCGGTACAGTTAACCAATATTATATATATTTAATTTTTTAAAGTGTTGATTTTTTTAGATTTATCTGGGGTTAGCAAGATAAATACCATTTTTAGTTCAAAAAACCTGTTGGAATCGACCACTTCGCTGCATAAAAATGATGGGCTTAAATTAAATGGAGGGGGTGAGAGGATTAGATTAAATAGCTGGTCTGAAATTATATTTATGATTTGTGTAAATGTTGGAGCAGGACAAGCTTTTGGATCAGACAAGCGTGACACATTTGTTCCCCATTACTAAGTATCTTGGGCTATTGGCCACCGGAATGACAGGTACTTTTACCCTAATTTTCTTTTTTCGCATAGAGTTGTTTGTATGCCCCGGGTTATGATTTTTAATCTCAAATAAGTGAGAATTATTTGTAATATTTCTTTTTGTCAAGGTAATGGGATCTTGATGAATTAACTGTTTGCCTTTTGTTTTGGCACGAGGAGTTAGTTTTAGCGATTGCAGGAAGACTTTGAATACAATAAAAATCGAATAGGGCATTGATTATTAACTAGTGGGTGCTACTATATGCTATATTATTATTACTAATTACTAAAGAAAGAACCATATAGATTGTATGCTACTCAATTTTTTTACCAGTATGTCTATACATGAATGTATTAAGAAAAATGTAGACGTGAAAGTATAGTTTCATTGGAATGAATCCTAGAAACACATATAGCTTTCGTGGAAAGTTCTCTTTAGCTGAATGCAATTTTGGTACAAGAAATCCATTTTAGACTTGTGTCTTGGTTGAGATGCTCCTTCATGACTTGCTTGAGTTAATGGTTAAGTTCTGATTATTTTATTTATTTATCTTTTTCCTTTGTCACTTTTCCAGCTGATGCAAGGACCTTGGTCCAACAGGCCAGGAATGAAGCTGCTGAGTTTCGCTTTAAATATGGATATGAAATGCCAGTTGACATATTGGCCAAATGGTACGATACCTTTATTTCATGTTGCTGCTGGAAACTTGGTGCAAGGAAAATGCCTGACATTTTGGCAATGCTTCATCTTTCCCATATTTTATGCCAGTTGCTTCTGTTTTTCATGAGCCAACTGTCATAATGGCAAATAGTCTAGAGCCTCAAACAGTAGTCCTATGATTCTGGTGTACAACACCTTTTGCTTATATGATACTGTTTCTTGGGTTAGTGAAGTAAACGATTGGAAAATCTCATTGTGTTATTTAACTTGATATGTATACTTGCTCTTGAGTGCTGGTTGTATTTTGTTTGCTATTGACGATAAGCTTGTCTATTTAATTACAGGATTGCAGACAAGTCTCAGGTTTATACACAGCATGCCTATATGAGACCCCTTGGGATAGGTTCGTGGCTCATTATTTTCAAACTTATTGAAAGAATCTTCACAATATTCTGTTTCTTCATATCATATATTTGTGCTTCATATTTTTTGTTTTCAATGTAAAGTTGCAATGATATTGGGTATTGACGAGGAGAAGGGACCTCTGCTATTTAAGTGTGATCCTGCTGGCCATTTTTATGGTCATAAGGTAATTGCAATATTTCTTTAAAATGAATGTCATAGTAGTTGCTTCCGATGCATGAGTTTTTCATATAACTTTCCTGAAATTTCATTCCCTTGTCTGTAGAAGCTATTCCTCTAGGCGGTTGTGATACATCCAAAATGATAATTTGAATAGTGATAACCACTAACCAAGCCTAGTTCTTTCTGATAGGGGTTGATAGCTTGCTTCAAGCCTTGATTACATGGAAAGAATATATTAAAAAAAAAACTATATTAATGAATTCTCTCCTTCAATGCCATTAAAATTGGTTTTCCCAGCAGACCTGCTAGCTTTAATGTGTCTGGGGACTTCTTGTGACCTAGAACCTGCAAGTACTAGGTTCCTTTTCATAAGATTTTTCTGTTGTAGTGTCAAGGAGGCTTTGTTACTATAATTTGAGATCGGGTGAAATTGGGAAGATGATTCAAGTAATAATAGCTAATCCTTAGCTAGTGATCCATACATGGTACATCCACATCGCTAATATCTAGGTACATCTTTCTCATTTCTGTCTTTTTACATTCGAGACTTGATGCAATTAGTATTTTCCATTTAATGCAGAACCAGGTTGCAGTGTGTGCTTTCTTAGAAGGGCTTGGCTTAGGCCCTGCTGTGGTAGATAGAATCTGATGAATTGGGCTTATCTTAAGTTGTGTCTTCATTTCTGCCAACATTTCTGAGCAACTAAAATATCCCTAGTTTCTTTGAATTATTGATCTCCAAAATCATATGGTCTAATTGATTGTATCTTCATCGAAGTCGAGTTTTGGCCAAGAGCTACTCAAAATTGTTTTGCTAGTTGTGTATCTACTATCTTGTATCAAGCAAACAAGATGCGATGTGACTGAGTAATAATGCTCTAATGATTAAAAGATCTCAAAATAAAAATAAAAATATCATTAACACGAGTACAGTGTATCCTCCTTTTTGATTCCGTGATGCTGAGTGTAGTGGTCAAAGTACAAAACGGAGATAAACTGTTTTGTTTTTTCATTATGCTGATGTCTTTCCTGATTGAATTTTTTTTTATTTTGTATTTTTGATTAAATGTTTTATCACAGTCCATCTAGAGTTGTTTAAATTAGCAATGTCTTCTGTCAGTACCCTCTTATTGAAGAATCTTGCTTTGTTGTGGCATCTTTTCGTGGTGGGGTAACCATTTACATTCATCTTTATT